GCTGGCTGAGGAATTCTGGGAGTTGAAGTCCACAAGTCTTAAAGTGGCCAAGGTTGGACACCCCTGCTTTAGGCGGTACAGTGTTCCAAAGGGGAGGAGCTATGGCAAAGAAGGCTCTTTTCCTGGACTTCAGCAGCCAAAATTCCTTGAGTGAAAGGGTCTGAAGCATGTCTTTTCTGCTAGCATAGGTGGGGCAGGTCAATCCCATTGGGGTGAGACAGCTCTTCAGATGATCTGGACTCTAACTATGAAGGTGATAACCAACACCTTGAATTGCAGCTGGAAGCAAATCAGCAACCAATGCGGTTCATGGAACAGTGGTGTAACATGGGCCACCAATAAGGGCCCCAAGAACTGAATTTTTTTGCCCTTCTTGCTCTAGGAAATGAATGAAGTAATAAACCTTTTTAAAGTGTTGTTGTTGTATCACATAGGAAATCAGGAGATATGAAACGTAGCTTGTCTGTGATCATGGGCTTCTTAATTCATCATAGAAGCTCAAACGGTAGCACTTCTTTTCAAAATTGCCTTTTTCAAAGTTGCATTTCAGCTGGTGGAAAATCTGTTAAAATGTGTTGTGATTTGTGAATTGGAATTATATGCAAAGGGCTGCAATCATACTGACCCTAATAAATAGGATGTTTTGGATGTGTATGGGCAATCACACCTATACAAAATTATTTTGAGTTTCTCTATTTCAAAACATATGCATTAAAATAATTAAGAAGAATTTTTTTATTTCATTGAAACGTAAGCTGCCTAAATATCTGAAGGTGAATAGACACTTGAATACCTACATCTTTATGATAAAAGTTTTGTTTTCTGTTTTTCAGGCTCCATACTTCTGGCCTTCCAATTGTTGGGAACCAGAAAACACGGACTATGGTGAGACTCTTTAGTGCATCTTTTGAAATGCCACTTGTATAAACCCCTTGTCTCTAATAATCATTTTCCTCTAAAAGAAATTATAGAATAATATAATTGTAGAGTATTATGCTGACTGATGAACAGGAAGGCCTGGAGGAACGTTATCCATGGGGTCATGATGGGTCAGACACGACTTCGCGACTAACAACAACAAAATGCTGACTGATAATCCAAGGAGTTGTAATGCCAACTACGTACTGGAGAATGCTACTATATTTAGTTTCATGATATAAAAGTCAATAGTTGCTAGCATTTATGCACAGATGATGAGCAGAAATAATGCAAGCAGAATACCCTAGCAAAACATATAAAATGATTTTCTTTGAAGCTGCAATCCACTCCCTGTCCCTCCATTTTTAAACAACAGCCTGCTTGACTTGAAGAAGAGAAGGCCTTGTTATAGGCTGGACTTGAGCTGTCTGATAACTGTGCCCTGGGAGTATTTGCCACCCATCTACTGGCTGATGGCTGAGAGGGCTGCACTTAATGGATTTTTGCTCCTTTGGGGAATTGTAAAGACCAGGGATCTGGCTTCTAAAAGAATGGGTACAGACTGGGAATCATGAAGTGTGACTATGAACTTAAGTTAGCCTTGACTGGTGAGAGCTGAATTAAAGAACAGTGGCCTAAGGTATGAGATGGTAGGTAAAGATTCCCCTCTCAATATGTGCTAGTCATTTCCAGCTCTAGGGGGCGGTGCTCACCTCCATTACAAAGCCGAAGAGCCATCGCTGTCCGAAGACATCTCCGTGATCATGTGGCCCGCATGACTAAATGCCGAAGGTGCGCGGAATGCTGTTCCCTTCCCACCAAAGTGGTCCCTATTTTTCTACTTGCATTTTTACATGCTTTCAAATTGCTAGATTTGGTGGAAGCTGGGACAAGTAACAGGCGCTCACTCCGTTAAGTGGCACTAGGGATTTGAACCGCCAAACTGCCGACCTTTCCGATCGACAAGCTCAGCGTCTTAGCCACTGAGCCACCATGTCCCTGTGTGGGATGGATTTCTGTCTTTAAACATTGAAATATTTTCCATCATTTTGGTGTATGGGCTGGATTAGTGATTTTCACAGCTCCCTATGGAATTCTAGTTATATTCCACTGCTCCTTGCAGTTTTAAAATATCTGTAGAAAGTGAGGGATATCCATAAATTGGAGGTGCAGAGGAGACAGAGAGAAGACATTGGGGATAAAATCTAGATGGCTGCAAGTAATCACCCTCTCTGTCTTTATTTCCCCATTTCAAATGTGGATCTTAATGCAAATACTAGCTCAATTCACCCTAAGACTTCATGCGTGGAAAACTAACCTGCAGATTTACAAAGTCCTTCAAGGAAAAAAAATGACAACTTGATGTTGATATGAATGATGTTTTTGATAAAATATTTATCAGTCAAATTCATATAACCATGCATCTCACTGAAGGTGACTCTGGGCAGTAAATGGGAATCAATACATAAAAACAAAAATATGTACAATATAAAAGCTTTATTAATAAGTGAGAATACAATCCACAGGAGGGGGTGGATAAAAATGGCCACCTCAACAATGGAGCCATCTTGAGAGGTATATCAAGACTTGAAGGCCGATACACACTGCACCACAATCTAATAGTATAAGGAGATTTTCAATTTATGAGGCCTAAGAAAAAGAACAAGACATTTATGGCTGTTTAGTCTATCACATGCTCTCTGGACTTCTATCCCCTTGGCTTACTCAAGCAAGAAAAGCGGAAATGGTTTGGAGATTTCCAAAGACCAGTAAACATACAGTATTTTTTCCTTGATGGAGTAGTATCTTTGGATTTTAAGGAAGTGGTCTGTCCATCTCTGAAATCCTCCCTACATTCAGATATTTTCTTTACTACTATCCTGTCCAAAGCACCTCTTTTGCAGCCAAGGTGCATATTATATTATTGTGGAAACAACAATATTGATTGCCAATTAGCTACTGAACCTGTTCATTTAACTCTTGATATAATGCCCTAAACCACTGGAGTCCAGAATACCTGACAGATGCTCATTAGCTAAACCAGGCTAATTATTGCCTCAGGATGTTTGGTTTTATAAATTGCATTCTGGGGTTAGGGTAGGGTTAAACTCTCTGTGCACTACCTAGAGTCATGTTGGTAAAATTGCTTGAGGAATTTCATCTATGTGCAACTTAAAAAAAAAAAACCTAGAGTACCATTTTCTCAATATTTGCTAAGAGGCCTTCTTGATGGTGGCACCTCCATTCTGAAAATCATGAACACCTTTCAAAATAGCTCACACGGAAGATCGACCATTTAACCCAGGCCTTCATAAATATATTAAATAAGATTTGATATCATACCTTATATTTTTAGCCAGTAGTGTATTATTTCATTTAAAGTACCTGTGTTGCATTGTCTTTTTATACAATGTTTCTGCTTAGAATGATAGTATGGACAGTTTGTAGAAAACTATCATAAGTATTGTCCCTTATTTGTCCCTTATTTCTCTCTCCATGCATTCATCAGAGCTCTGGACAGCACCTTATAAGCATATCACACACACACACACACACACACACACACACACACACACACACACACAAAATGCTGTTGTGAAACCGGCAATATCTTTATCCACATAGATCACATTATGGATAATTCTTGTTTAGTCTGCCTTGTTTAGTGACTTGTTTGCAGTTGCAGTGGTGATGAAATGTAACTTTGTGATCAGTCCTCACAGCTGCCACCTTTGCAGGTCCATAAATCAGAGGAAAACTGAAGATACTAAAATCAAAGACTCAGTTTTGCTTAGTGGCCTCTTCACTTAACAACTTAGTTGCCAATCCCAAATGTGGTTGCTAAACAAGGGCTACCTATGTAGAGAAGCATGCTGAGCATTTCAGTTTCAGCGGGCATATGAAACAGAGTGGAGACAACCTTAGGCTGTAGGATTGCATGAGGTCATTCAATTAATTCATTTATGTCCTTTGGGGTCCTTTTTCTATCCTCATCATTTTATTGGAGTGCATATCTCCTAAAAAAAAAAAAAAACCTTATTTGCCACTCTTGGCCAACAACAGCTTCCCATACCTGGTCTAAGGGCCAGGTTTTCCACCCCTGATTTTATTCTATTCTGAACTTCATGGAAAGAATTTAAGTAAAGAGCTGTGATTGCTGTCACTAAGCAATGCAGTTATTTGACATTTCGCTTTACAGTCACATAATTTTGATAATTGGAACTAGAATTTCCATTCCTTAGTTAACTGCAGGTTTCAAATTGATTGAAACCTAAAATAGCCTCTTCAATTAGAGAAATGTGCAGTTTTCTCAATGTTGGATCTGTATGTATGAGAATGCCAATTGTTTCTTAGTAGAAACAATTCTTTCAGAAGGAGTTGTTTGATTCTCTCTCTCTTTTTCCTTTTCCCTTCCTCTCCCTCTCCTCCTCCTCTTTCTTCTTCACTTACCTTTAATGGTTTTATTTTGCTGTTGTTTATTTCTGTCTATAGCCATCTATCTTTGCAAGAGGACCATGCAGAACAAAGCTAGACTGGAACTGGCAGATTATGAAGCAGTGGGTATATTGATTTTAATATCCTCAAAACTGAATGTCTTCTGATGTTATATGGGCAGCATCATTATCTAAAATTATATTTATCCTGAAATTATACAGATGTTGGGGTGATATCAGAAAGAAATACATTTTCCTTTTGACTTAGATTCTAATGGGGCAGGCATATGTTTTATTTATATTATGCCAGGGAGTTTAAGGTGGTTTACATGGAAGTTTACCCCTAATTTTATTCCTGCACAACAATCCCTTATGGAAGATGGAGAGGGGAGTAAGAAGAGTAAAAAAAACAGTCAATTCTGTGACTGAATGTGGACTTGAACTTGGATACTTTGCTGTAAACAAGTGCTATGACTTTTTACAACCCCAAATAACATTTTAAGAGTAAGATTATTGTGGAATTAGACCCTCCTTAATTTCTGCTAATTCTTGCTTGATTCCCCTTTACAAATGGGGCCATTCAAGGAAAAAAATCATTCTTATTTACCTATAAACTAGGTTTAATGAAGCATTTTTAAAAAGGTACTCAGGATGTTTCCACATAGATAACTCCAGTTCTTTCACCGTTTTCTACAAGATCTGGGGAAAATAATGTGCATTAAATAATTTTAAGTTTTCTTTATTGGAGTGACTAATTCTATATACTGCTTCAAAAGACTAAAGAATTATCAGAGTATAATGCTATATTTTTCATGGCTACTTAAAAAAAAAAAAACTATTCAGTTGTTTCTTGCTAAAATGCTAGGAACTCTTAAGAGTCCATTCTGCCCATTTCTCATTATATGACAATGTATATATATGATGTAATATAGAGGTATCAAATTCAAGGCATGGGGCCCAATCCAGCCCGGGGGTGTGTGCTTATAAATCTGGCCCATGGTACTCCCCTGGAAACAGCAAAGGACCAGCCCACAGTGTCTCTGCCAGCAAAAATGGAGCTTGGGAGTGCTGCGTGTGGCCCTCCTGAGCTCCATTTTTGCTTGGCATAGCACTCGGGCCACCACATGAGTGATGTTGAGCTGGCCACGCCCACCCTGGCCACTCCCACTGCCCCCCACTTCCCGAAGTCAAACACAACCCTGAAGCAGCCCTCAATAGCAACCAGGATGATTAGGGGACTGGAGACTAAGGCATATGAAGAACGGTTGCAGGAACTGGGCTTGGCTAGTCTGGTGAAGAGAAGGACCAGGGGAGACATGATAACAGTCTTCCAATATTTGAGGGGCTGCCACAGAGAGGAAGGGGTCAAGCTATTTTCTAAAGCACCTGAAGGCCAGGCAAGGAATAATGTATGGAAACTGAACAAGGAGAGATTTAACCTGGATATAAGGAGAAACTTTCTGACAGTGAGAACAATCAACCAATGGAACAGCTTGCCCTCAGAAGTTATGGGAGCATCATCACTTGAGACTTTCAAGAAGAGATTGGACTGCCATTTGTCAGAATGGTGTAGGGTCTCCCGCTTGGGTGGGAGGTTGGACTAGATGACCTATAAAGACCCTTCCAACTCTGATTATCTGTTATCTGAAATCAAATTTGATGCCCCTGATGTAATATAATTTTCATGGAGAGTAATTATGCTATTCAACATTGATTCAAGTGTATATGGTCACTGTAGACCACATTGACTGATGGCATCACCTACCAATGCAAACATTTGGAAATATTGGGAAAGAGGAGAAGCGTTAATAGCCCCTATGTTTTGGTGCCCTAGTCCTGTGCCTACTTGGCCTTAGCCAAAGCCAGTTATGATTATATTAATTATATAAAATATAAATCTATATACCATTGTAATGTATAAACCAACTCAGCACCTAAAGATTATTAGGTAGATTCAAAATATGTTATTGATTGCACTGATACTTCTCTTAATGTAGTCACTCATTTTTCAAACCATTTCTATATAAATGCAGCATCTTCTACAGTGCATTGACTGTAAAGGTTGGAGACAGCACCATTCTTGGTGTCTGTAACTAACATGTGGTTTGTCATGGCAAAAGATTATGGTCCAAGTTGGTGCTTTCCAGATGAGTCAAGCACAAATCTTTCTAGATGAGAAGGATGGGTGTTGTAGAACACCAGTTTGGGGAAGGCTCAGATAGTCTTGCTCTATTTCCAAATAGTGACTGCTGGATCAGATTCAGTGTGTCTAAGCTGAGAGTGATGTTAGGAGTTCTCCTTTGAGTCAATACCATCATCCCTCCAATCCCATCCCTGACCTCAATACTTGTTTGCTTCCAGGTAATCTGTACCTAGTGCCTGTTAAATGCAGTGGTGACTGATGCTTGCACAGGTTGACATGCATAGATGCTTAAATTTACATTCCTTCCCACAACCTGGGCAGAATTGCCAGTTGTTTTGAAATCAGCCAACCATTGTACATGGACAGTTTTGCACATCACATTGTAATTTTCTGAGTGTTTTTATTCTTGCGCCCGTATACTGTCATTATTTCCACACCATCAGCTGTTGAATTATGCAACTATAATTATGAATGTTCTCAACAAATCAACAAAAGCCTTATTCAGCATCCACAGTCACATCATGGTATATCCATAAAGGAGGCATAGCACTAAATTCAGTTCTCTTGCAAATATTAAGACTCGGACTCATTAATTAACACTAGCTAATTAGATCTTTTCTTCACCTCCACCCCAAACTGATTGCTCACATAATCAAGAATCATATCCGTACTGGTCTGTGTAAGTTCAGAGAAGAATGCCGTGTCTGTTTCACCATGGTTTGTTTTCAGAACACAAAATGCCACTTTTAAAAACATCCATACTTATGGCTGGAATGGAACTGGTTTTGCTTCTTTCTGTGCCACACTCTTCCTCTCTTTAACTTTTACTTAACTTTTATGTAAATTCATCACATCTCTGTGTGAGTCATTTCAAAAGTTTTATGCAGTAGACTGTGGATTTCACATTTTAACACTTAAGGTCTCGCTTCAGGTTGCTGAGCATCTTGATTCTTGTGGGAAATTGTACTAACCTAAAATCTTCCTGCCAATAATTCAAAGCATTCAGTTTATACACGTGGCACATAATGGATTTGTATCTTGAAAGGTAAATTCAATATTTCGCTATCCCACTGTGATGCCTGAATCAATTATTTTTACTCACCCCAGTCAACATGTCATGTTAGATAAGAGGCTTCTGTTAAATGATGGTGATTCATCCATATTGCCATGGCTTAGATCATCGCAGCAACAGAGGGCAGCCATCTTCCCCAACCTGGGGCTCTCCAAATGCTTTCCGACTACAGTTTACAGAATTCACAATATTTCTGAAAGGCACCAAGTATGAGAATGCTCATGGTTAGGAAAACAACGAGCATTACAGAAAAGTGTGTACACATAATGATTATACAACATTGTTACAAACAAAAGCTTAACACTTTTCAGATAGGGGCCAATCAGTTGAAAATTATGTACATTTAAAAGCCCGCTGAAGTTAGCAAGGAGTTACTGGAATTTTTTCCATGGAATCAATGAAACAATAGAGGTACGAAATGCCGTTTTCATTTTATATAATAATGCATAGCGATCACCATAAGGATCATAGAAGTTATCTATGTGCAGGCGGAAAACCCCCTAAAAGAATAAAACCAATTCAAGGTTCAAAAAAATCAAGAAATGTTTGAACACAAGGTATATATATATATATATCCCATTAATTCATTCTCTTTTATTCAGTGCAAATTCTATTCTTGGCATTTTCAGATTAATATGATGTAGGTACTATACTTTAATTTTCACATTAATATGATCTAGATACTGTGAACTAACCAGATTTCCTCATGGTGACTCTTTTGATTGTCAGCTCTCCTTACTCTTGCGTTGCTGTCCTTGTTTTGTTGTTGTTGATGTTGTTTTCCTGTCCACTTAGGAGAATTTAGCAAGACTTCAGAGAGCTTTTGCCAGAAAGTGGGAATTCATCTTTATGCAAGCAGAAGCACAAGTCAAGTAGGTGTTTTTGCAGTAAAACAATTTCAAATGATTGAAAATTGTGGTGATACTGAATACAAGGTACTCATGAAATATACTATTTAAAGCTTATACTTTAAGGTTAAATTGTCCTCCCAACAACTGAACACATTTCTATATTTTACACTCCACTTGGTATTAGAAAAGTTTCAATCTCTTTGCCACCCAGGCATCCTCATTCATCACCCCCACTTCCTCCAAACCCTTAAGGTGAGAAATCATTGAGAAGACACAGCCCCACCTTGGCTGGCATATCAGAGAGGGAAAAAAAATCTGAACTCAAGACCTGAGAAGGCCAAGCTAAACACAGCATGGCTTCATGATGCTAATGGCTACGCAATAGAATACATTAAATTTTACTTGGCACTGTTGGAAATATGTTAAGCATGGAATAAGCATGGGATTCGGGTAGCCCTCGGCTTATGACCATAATTGGAAATGAAAAATTTGTCATTAAGTGGTGTCATCCTTAAGAGAAGCATTACATGACTAGCTGATTTTACAATCTTTTCCACGGTTATTAAGCAAGACATCATATGTCCTGCTGGCTTCCCCACTGACTTTGCTTGTTCAAAACCAGCTGGGAAGGTTGCAAAGGGCAATCAGATGACTCTGGGATGCTGCAACTATCATAAATACCTACCAGTTGCCAAGCACCCAAATTGCAATCAGGTAACCATAGCAATGCTACAATGGTCATAAGTGCACGGACTACAAACTATTACCCATTTTTTTAAAAAAAGGGAAATTCTGTTGAAATCCTGAAAGACACGTGGGACATTATATCAGACCCATTCTCTGAACCCAAAAATATGTATTTGAGCTTTGAATATCATTTTTGCAATTAAAACCAGAATCTTTTCTCTACTTTACCAAATCTTTAGTGGCTTAATCCACTGATTTAGCCATGCAGGACACTACGGTAATCACAAATAAGTGATGTTGCTACAGATTATTTTATTAACATAAAAATTAAAAAAGAATTAAACTTAATTTGAGTCTTGCTATCTTCAATACAGTTTATTT